CATTGCGCAAAAACCAATAGCGTGACATCATAATGTATACATGCGTCGCGCAAACCAATTTATTTTTCTTTTTATTTAATTTTAATTATAATTTTTAAAATATAGTTGTTTTCATAAGTTTTTATTATTTTTTTAAAACTTTGTGCGACGAATATTAATATTTCGTCGCCTAACCCTTATTTACTTATTTATTTATTATTATTTTCTTTGTGGGATGAATACACATTTGGTCGCCTAATTCACCGTGCAAAATCCTTAAATTTGGACAGGAGCCAAAAATGGGACACGGGAATTAATTTTTTTTTTAAAGACTTTGCACGACCAATCTCTCTTCTCTCTCTTCACTATCTCTCACTCTCACTCACACTCACTCTCTCATCTCTCTCACTATCTCCTCTAATTCTCTCACACTCACTCCTCTCTCTCATTCTCACCCACTCTCAATCTTACCAAAAGGTATATTCTCCCCAAAATTTAATTTTGTTCTTTTCATTAATGTGTTTTTGGAGTTAATTTTAAGTTTGGTGCGGGGTTTGGGGTCGAGTATACAGGGTGATGGGTGGAGTTTGGGGTAGGATTTGGGGTATACCAATTTTTGGGGAGATTATGCCAATTTTTTGGTATTATTTTATGTTATTTTGTTGGTTATTTGACCATATTTGTTTTTTTGTAGGGAATCGTCGAGACTTTGATAGCTAAAGTTGAGGATTAGGATGCTATTGAACCATATCCCCCGCCACTACTACCACCACAATAGACTTGTATTAAGATTTTATTATTGTACTTTGTTAAGTTATGTGTACATTTTGAATACATTATATATATTGGATAATTTGATCACTATTTTTCATATGTAATTTTATTTTGAATATGTCAATTTAAATTAAAGTAATTAAAAAAATCATACAATTAAACTAAATTTAAAAAGTAAAAATTCAAAAAATCTTGCACTACCAAATATTTCGTCGCGCAAACAATTAATATACGAGAAATAATAAAACAAAAAGTCAAAAACCTTGTGTGACAAAATATTTCGTCACGCAAAATATTAAATTAAATTATTTTAATTAAAAAAAAAGAAAGATCTTTGCGAGATGAAATGTTACTTTGCGTGAAGAATATTTCATCGTGCAAAATATTAAATTAATTTAATTTACTTAAAAAACAAAAATCTTTGCACTACGTAGTATTTCGTTGTGCAAAATATTAAATTAATTTAATTTAGTTAAAAAATTTAAAAACAAAAATCTTTGCGCAACGAAGATTAATTTTTGTCACGCAAACACTATCTTCACGAGCTTTGCACGACAAACCATACGCGACCAAAATTTCATCACGAAAGGTTTTGTGTGACAAAATTGTACTTTGCGCAACAAACTTATTTTGTCACGCAAAGTGTTTTTTTGTGGTAGCGAAATGTGGGTTAAGTCAGTTGACTAGTGCAACAATACAAGTTCTCACTCAGCTCCTTGTATAGTAGAGTTGTTTAGAATAGTCTTGTGTTTAAAATTAGCACTTTTAAGGTCTGTTGTTTTCAATTATATCATAATATTCAAATATTGGAACTATATAACACAACGATGTTGGAATTGCTTTTATAATAACTAAAAGCACTTTCAAGTAGCTAAAATGTTTCTAACTATGTTTGATAGAAAAAAAGTTAAAAGTGTTTTTGTGTTTCAAAAAAGTTGAAGAAGCACGTGTTTAAGTGCTTTTCAAGGAAGTGTACTAGTGTGTTGCACTTGCATTTTTGTTAAAAAATTTAAGTGCTTCTAATAGAAGCGCTAGAAGTGGTGATATTGGAAGCGCTTTTGAGGAGAAATTCTTTTTAAAGAAGCATTTTCAAAAGGACCATAAAACTACAAAAGCATCATTTACGTTTTGTACCCACATAGTTTAATTCTTTTTGGTAGTCTTAAAATGTATTGTGGAAACAACTCTAAGTAAAGTTATAAATCGTATAATGTTCATTCGTATGTCAGACTATTAGGGGGCGTTGATTGACCTGAATTGGGTTATCTAACATTTGTTCCATCTTTAACCAAAATATGGGGTTAATTGATAACTGGATAAGCTGAGACTAAACATTTCCTCTATCAACTTATTTTAGACAACTTAAAAGAGAAGCCTAATTAAACAGGAACACTCAAACCTAACCAAATCAATCCAAGCCAATCATATATATCAAACCTGCCTTCAAATCATCATCAAATCCTGAACTCTTCTTCTGAACCTATTTGCAGGTGGACTTTGCAAACTCCTTACTGCAACGACGATGATTTGATTGTTGAGTTTCAGGGAAGGTAGGTGGGGCTTGGAGAGTTGCAGTGGGTTGAACAAGTTCTGAGTGTACCAAACACCAAATAAGACTCCAATCCTAACTTATTCTATCCGAAATACAAGTCCTATCCGATCCAAACCACCAAATGAGGCATAAGAGAGTGGTGAGGAAACCTTAAGGGCTTGTGTGTTGCCTAAACATTGGTAGGAAGTGGTTCTCAATCTCTCCTTTCATATAAAAGCAACTTACATGGAATGAGTTCGCCGCTACATGATTTTCTCAGGGATCAAGCCAGAGATCTATATGGATGGGGCATCTTCAAACAACAAAATCACAAATTAAAAAGATCAAGAATTTACTGAACAAAACACTTAATATATCCATAAGGTTTTTCATACAATATATTACAATATCCCTCGACGTGTTTTCATGTTTTGAAAACGTTGCATGACAACTTCATTAACAATATCATCAAATATCTCTCTCTATAAAAATAACCATGTTATCATTCATCCACTGATCTCATCCAATTTCCCAATCCATTGTTCTCATAAATTTCATGGCCAAAAATGCACTTTCAATGTTGATAGTAGCAACTTAAAGAGTTGATGCTAATATAATGTCTCTCATGTGGGTTTGCTTTATGCAACATGTACATTTTTCTAAACAAAAAAAAAAAAAAAAAAAAACATAGTGGGGGCATCTGTCCCCCTGGGCCTAAGGTGGCTTCGTCTGTGGGTTCCCAAATCAATAACACATTGCCATGTAGAGAAAATCCTGCACATTACACTAGATTATTGAACAAAAAATACTACATAATGATGAACCTGTTTCATATAATTCATTCTTCTTTCATACTGTTTGGACCCGATTTTACACCAACGGCCCGAGTAATCGAGGCTGTTGAGTGAGCATGGTTCTTAACCGTCGGATGAGAAAGTTAAGATAATTTAATATTGTTAAGAGATAATATTATGGTTTTTAATCATAATAATTATCTTTCAATAAATTATCTCGATTTTCTTGTACAAAATAAATTGGATAAAAATCATAGCCCCAACGGAAGAGACAGGTGGAACAGTCCGATTTAATTTGGATTTGTTAGCAGTGTACCGTGTGGATTAGAGCAACTCGGCTTGGATTCTTATCATATGGCATATCATGGGATTTGCAAGGCTTGGATAATGGTGAGATAGGAGACCTAGGTAGGCTAGTTTATTTATGGATGTTGTCAGATGAATTGAATTGATGATGGACTTGGCCTGCATGCCGTGTGAAAGGCTACCAGCTATATAATTATATATATATATATATATATATATATAATTGGTGGCTGTTTAGATGAACGTTATTTGTTCAAATCCAAGCATGCAGGTTATCTTAGGATTCGATGTGATAAGACTAAACACAAGGATAGAATTTCGTTGCATTTTTTACTAAGTTCAGAGTCTTGGGAGTAGTAAGGCTTATCCGAGGCTCAAGTTAGTGGAAGAGTTTTAATAGCTTGGGAGTCTTTATCAGCTTATCAACCAGCGCATACTCATCCCTATAAATACAAGACACCGTGCAACATTTCAGGCATCTTCAATTCAACACACAAACTGCCCTGCGCAAACCCTCGCTCTACGTGAAACCTCTCAACAACCTTGAGATTTTTATTTTATTTTTTTTGCCAACACATCTTCAGTTTGGATAAACAGTACTGTGAGGGCAACTGGTGACACCTTCAGTTTGGTAAACAACATTGTTGCCGTAGAATTAGCCGACTGCAAAGCACCTTCAGTTTGGATAAACAATACTTCGACGAGGCCAACTGGTTATCTATCCAAGTTTTGGTCAAGAAGGATTTTCAAATCCTTATTGGTAGAGGTCATCTCATCAGCCTCGGCGAAGTAAGGTGTTACCAGGTTACTGCATTCGGCACCCAGAGAGCTGAATTTGATATTGAACTTCGTAGAACTAGCAGCCTTGTCTTCAGGCTCTAGAACCCGAAGGCTGAGATGTGTTCCTTCCTCGACCGCAATCACAAGATTAAGAAGTCAGCAGCGTGCCCAACGCCACGCAACATCAACAAATTTTACTCACCGGTCGAGTTGGCACGCCCCGCACATAACCGAATGACATAGTGAGCTTATTAATTACTCAACCTACGCACCATGTAGGCTTGATAGTTTTTAGGGTCAACACATGGACACATCTTCAATGTACTCATAACTATTTGCTTTAGGGATAGATGAGCATGGCGTTGGCAACATACATATAACTCTGTCGAAACCTTTTTGTTTGGCTTGGTTGGTAAACAGTATCTAGTCAAACTAAACCCAAATCTTATGGCATTATTATTTGAACATGTGTCCTACAGTTCTCAATATATTAAACTATTACAGAAATACCTATCTCGTGAATCTTGTAGGTGAAGATCCGAAAGAGAGAGAGAGAGAGAGAGAGAGAGAGATGCATGCAAATCCATGCATAGATGATAACGTTATGTATATTGAAGCACGTCACCTTTTGTACTTGAAATTTGCAGTTGAACAGAAGTAGTTGAGATGTGGTTGGCCTTAGCTTTTACCCTAGCTAGGGTAAACAACATAGGGTTATACCAAAAACGGCAATTAAAACCATCCTCTCATTTAATTCAACCCTAAGCAAACAACATCTCTCTCTCTCTCTCTCTCTCTCTCTCTCTCTCTCTCTAACCTTGTTCGTGTACGTCAGTCCAACTTCTTCTCACCTTCCACCACCTTGCTGGAGAGGACTTCATATATACTTCCCTCCATCAAACATTCTCGCTTCCTTTCACATCATTATTCTGATTATTCAGTAATTATAATCAGATCACTCATATTAATTATAAATGGAGGATCATCATCAACAGCATAATTCACCTCCATTAACCTCCCAATTGCCGCCCTTATCGTTACCATTCTTGTTGCCCCCGCCATCCCAAAACCCTCCTCTTCCTCCTCCCTATCTCTTCACATCCTCGTCATCCTCCTCATTGATGACCAACCCTCCTGATCTTCTAGACACTGACTGGTTCAGCCTTCTCTCTGGTGGTACTCAAGCGGCTGGCTGGCTTAGTCATGATCAGATTAATAATAGTTTTAAGCCTATGGCTATGGTGGATAAAAATATTAGTGGCTCTGCTGGGAATATTATTAGTGAAGCTGCGGATCAGGAAGAAAAGGTGGGTATTAAAAGGAAAGCTGGGGGTAGGATGAGAAAAGCAGCGGCAAGCCGACCTAGGTTTGCGTTCCAGACTCGGAGTACGGATGATATTCTTGATGATGGCTACCGCTGGAGAAAATATGGACAGAAAGCGGTCAAGAACAGCTCATATCCCAGGTTTATTCATTATTTTTTCTTTTATAAATGATATAATTATGAACACATTGTTCATACCATGTATCAATATAGCTAGGGAACAAATTTATTATTCTAGAAATCAAAATTTTGAAAATAATGAATACTGGTTACTTCGCTGGCTAGTGAATAAAGGGAATCCGAGACATAAACGAAGTATAATATGCATATATTCATCGTTTTAGCTGCTTAATTTGTCAGAACTTGTGAAATCTCTAATGAACATAGGGAATCAAGTTATTTAGTCAAATTGTTTGCATGACTAGGGTTAATATAGCAAAACATTTAGCCTGACCCAAGAAGAAAATTGACTACATGAATATTTGTCATTTGAAGTCATCAGAAATTTATGATCCAAAACTTCAAAATCCGAATCCTATATGTACTTTTAATAAAAAAATATGAATCTAACGAAAAAGTATATTGTTAGTAGAAAATACAATTCTAACAAAACATTTTTCCCACAAAAAGAGCTCCCAAGTCATTTAAAATACCAATATTAAATTGATTAGGGAAATTAGACTAATTTATACTATAAAGAAGAAGCCATTAATTGGACCAATCATATAGGTACATTATGCTCTAGCTAGCAACCTTTGAGGTTGTCTAGCTAGCATTTTGAATCCAAAACTCCTGTAATTATTTGGTTATGTGTATTATATAGGATAGGACCCTCCATATATAACTGTGTGACAATATATATTCAGTGAATGATTCAAAAGTTTATATGTTGGTGTAGTTTATTTTTGTCCAGCTAGTTAAGCACAATGATACTATTAGGGCATTTACTCAATTAATTATGTATTGTAGGAGCTATTATCGCTGCACACATCACACATGCAATGTGAAAAACAGGTCCAGAGGCTGTCTAAAGACACAAGCATCGTCGTGACAACGTATGAAGGAACTCACAATCATCCTTGCGAGAAACTCATGGAAACCCTAGCTCCTCTACTGAAGCAAATGCAGTTCCTCTCTAGGTTTTAATTAACAAGTTCACTATATATCATCTTTCATTGGCATTTGTACTTATATATTAACCCTTTGCACAAGTTGGCGAGAGATTTGTAGATCAAGTGGGTTAAGAAAGTCTACTTTGCATCCGAGAGTCCGAGTCATGTGTTCAAGTCCCCTTCCCTTAGTATCCTCTTGTATAAAAAACAATTGTACACGTCAACTGTTGACCATGTGATCAAGAAAAAGAAATTAAATGTGATCAAAGTACCCGCAGAATCCATATTAGTATATGTTATGCGTTAGGCTTTAGTCTTTTGTATATTTTGTGTTACTATATATATACATATGTTTAGACTCTTTTTTTTTTTTTTTTTTATTCTTGCTTTCTAAATGATATGCTTGTGAATAGTGTTACAATTGCTTCACTTATAACTGGGAGGTCTCGAGTTAAAGTCTCTTGATTGGCGAGTGTAAAACCTAATTATAGCTTGTCCATTGGCAAGTTGTACAAAAAAATGAGACACTAAAATCCTTACCCCGGTTAGAATAGAATATCGCTCAATAAAAGAATGATATGATTTTGGTTGACAGTGAGACGTAAAGCTTGAAAGAAAGAAAAACTATGGGGATTTTTTAACTTTAATCCTTCAAGAAGATTGAAATTTAAAATAAACCTGGTGTATATGCACCGAAATGTATTATATTATATTAATGTACGTAAATGTATGTACCAAAATGTTGCACCGAAATGTTAGTACCGAAATGTATTATATTGAATTAATGTACCTAAATATTTGTATCGAAATGCATATACCAAAATGTTTATATTATATTAATGTACGTAAATGTATGTACCAAAATGTTGCACCGAAATGTTAGTACCGAAATGTATTATATTGAATTAATGTACCTAAATATTTGTATCGAAATGCATGTACCAAAATGTGTATACCTAAATGCATGCACCAAAATGTATTATAATGAATTTAATGTACCAAAATATATTATAATGAATTTAATGTACCGAAATGTTGCACCGAAACGTTAGTACTGAAATGTATTTTATTGAATTAATGTACCTAAATATTTGTATCGAAATGCATGCACCAAAATAAAGAAGACAAAGTACATTGAATAATATTGTATAACAAAAATTAGTTTATCTAAATGTTTACAACAAAATATATTATGATAAATGAAATTAAAATTATAATTATAATGAAATAAAATTAATACATTAAAATTAGGAAGAAAAAGATCAAAATGTAATTAACGAATGAGGTTATTAATGTATCAAGGGACTAAGATTATATTTTGATCTTACTCATGGTTTTAGTCTAAAAGTCATATTTGTCAAGGATTAGAATGAAGTTTTTTAAAAACTATATCAAACTATCAAAAGGCCAAACGATCTCAACTATATCAGTAACCAAACGAAATTGACAAGATGGAGGAGTTTGCTAAAAAAAAACTGGATCGAAACCCAAACAAGCCAGTTCATCAATAAAAAAAATTCATTTTCCGATAGATAGTATGCCAAATTTCAAAAGATCAATTATGGTGCATAAAATCACGATAATTTGTAATCAAACTCCCCAGAAGTTGAATATCAACATTTGCATTTAGAATCAAGTCCATAGCAAGGGCAAAATTAGTTTCAACCAAAATATTCTTTTATCTCTTATTTTGCACAAGTTGCAAAACATACCCCAAATTTCAGCAATTAGAATCTCATCTCAACAAAGGTTGGCACAAAAACCAGCAACCTCTTGCTATGAAGAATTTCTGAAGACCCCACCATCGTTAATAAAATTAGCCCTTTATAAGACCTATCAACATTACGTTTTACCTAAGCCCTTTGGAGGATGTTCTAAAGAATATAAGGCACGAGTTCGAGGAGGATCAAGGAAACCCATTAGCCTAAAACCAATCTTTCAAGTAGGCAGTAACAACATACTTAGGATCCGGAGGGACAAAATCCTATTAAAAAAACTCTTCTTCCTCGAATGCCAAAGGAACCAAACCATATACATTACTATTTAAGTGGACTGGACCTCAAGCAACCGAGCCCAATGGTTTTTGTGGTTGCTGAGGCTTTCTCTAGTGAACATCAAAAGTGTAAATTTAAGTTACACATGTAAATAAGAGCCGTTGGATCTTTTAATCTAACGAGATCTAACGACTTGTGTTCAGATGTCACCACAAGAAAAATTGCCACTGCACACACACAAAAAAAAATTAAAAAAAAAAATATATATATATATATATATATATGTGCCCTATGAGGCTTAAGGACACCAATATAGGTGTCCTATAACAATAGCAATACTGCAACAACTAAAATATTATTTGTGTTCTCTATGGATGTGTCCTTTGGTCATAGGGCACACTATAGCATTCTGGACTCAAAGACTTAGCACAAATAAGAGCTATTTTGTGCCTTTGTTCTGATGTCGTGTCAGATGGCTTTTCCAAGCCATGTTAGCACAATTTTGTTATTGTGCCCAAAAAGTTAAATATTAGAGAAAAACAAATCCAGATATTATAAACGAGCTTTTACAATTTAGTTCTACAAACAATCGATTTATACTAATAATGACAACAACAATTCCTAATACATGTTTTCTGACACACCTCGACCCATAATGTCCACCTGGACTCCGAATTGAGATGTGCTAGCCAACACCAGAAAGGTGATGAAGCCATATAGTGTAGTGATGTGGAAAATATGAATAAATTTAAACCTAAAAGTGACTAAATGCAAGAGTGTGCATGTGAGTGGGATTGAACCCATTTCACATGTGATGTCAGAGTATAAGTAAAGTACAGTAAAAGTAGGATAAGAATTATACCATCAAAGGTAATCACCTCTACCAACATTTGCCAAGAGTCCTTGTCAACACAAAAGCGTTGCCACTAAAACCTGGAGGGGCGAAAAATAAGGGTGAGTGGGCCTAAAAAGCAAACCTTATAAAACATTTTCGAAAACGTAATAACCCATTGCCGTAAAGCAAGCATAGTTTCCAAACATAATATATTACATATAGTAAGAAAACACTTACCATAAACAATAATATCTTGAAAACATGTAATAATTCCCAATATTTCTGCATATAAACATATAACATCCGGTAATTATAATATATCGTGTAAACGAACATATCATATCGAGTGCTCATCGACATATGCTAACACACGAGTTTATGTAGAGATATTTTGACATGTACAAGACTGGGTGTAATAATGATTTACGCTTTAGTACTACAATCACGTAACAACTGGCGCTATGTGCATCACATACGAGTCATAATTGCCTATAGCAATCTAAGACAGGACTGGCACCTACAATGGATCCAAAGTGAGCGTATGGTGCGATGTAAAATTACACGTGAAGACTGGCTTGGCCCGGGCGAGTATTAACACCAGTGTAGCACATGATGAGTAGATAACGTAAATATAATCATGCAACGGAAAAATCAATAATTCTACTCAACATAATACTATTCATGACCATAAATATAATTAAGGCATCCCCTAGGATTTATAATGATCTCATGATTCTCATCATTACGACATTTTTGTGTAAACATTAATTTAATTATGGCATCACGTAGGAAATTCATTAATATATATATATATATATAAAAGAAAAGACCCACTCACAGATACTTGCGAGATCACATTTGTTCGACTTAGGAAAGTTGGAGTCTCCGATAATAATCAAACCTAAGCATGATATTGAGGCCCATAAGTAAAACTCAATTAAAACGTTTGAATTTGAAAAAATGAGCAGGGAATTCGGAATCAGGGCATCAAAATTCACTAAGAAGAGGCACGAGCAAATTCTGTAAAAGTCAACAAAAACTCAAAGGTCAACCAAAAAGTCAACCGAGCCGCCACGGTGGTCAACTACGTTAAAACTTCGGAACTTCACTAAACGGATGTAAAAAACAGACTCGGGGCATCAAAATTAGGCTAAGAGAGGTCTCGACAAAAATATGTAAAATTAACGCAAGGAATATTCTGGATTCGGTTTCATAAACGGGTCTTGGGATCAGGTTCGGGTTGGTTTACGAATCTGGGTTTAAGCTAATCGGGTTGGGTTAACCCATTTTGGGCTCACGGGTTGCACCTGCCGGACCTAGTGAAGAACAAAGCTAGATTTGGCTTTTTGGCTGGAAATTTTCAACGGCTCTGATAGTGGTCCAAACCTCAACCATTTTCTACGATTCAAAAGCCAAAATGAAGCTAAAGACGTATGGAACAAGTATATACCTAAGTTGGAATAAGCCATGGTTGGAGTTGGCCGAAAATGACCTGAAAAAATCTCGAGTCCCGTCGAAAAATCTGGAGAAATTTCCCCAAGTTGATTCTGCATTCAAACATCACCAAAAACTCTCAAAATTACCTTAATTGTACTCCAAAACAAGATCTAAGAAGTTCTTGGAGGGGGGTTGAGGTTTACCTTTGTTGAGAATGGTGAGAAATTGCCGGAGAAAGTCTTGAACAGTGGCAATGCCATTATGCACAGAGAGAGAGAGGAAAGAGAAAGTGACCATGTCAGGGCTCGAGGTTCGTGACATAGTTGGTTATGTGGTGGTGCTCGCCGGTGTGGCAAGAGATGGTGGTTACCGGTGTTGCTGGGTTTCACAGAAGGAGAGATAATAGAGTATAAGAAAAAGTTTTACGGGAGAGTGAGGGAGAAGACATCAAAAATGTTTCGAGAGAGTTGGGGAAAAGTGATACATGGCAAGAGAGAGAAGTTAGTCACGTGTGGGCCCTATGGGCCAAAATAAATCCCACCCAGAAATTAATAAAATATCCAAAATTCAAATTTACTAAAACACCCCCGAGTTTTGTAATTCCGTAAACTTTAATCGCAACTCCGATTTCGATTTCGCTTACGCCCATGAGTTCATAGCAACGAGTACCACACAAATACAATAAAAATAGTAGCTTATACGCGTTGCGGAATGACGGTTAATGAAAGTCAACAATCTTGCCTCTAGGGGCATTTTCATCAATTCACTCTTTTTAAAAATTAAACATTGTAAAATTTGGGACGGGTTCTAACATTTTTGCTATGAAAATAAAGTCAACTAAATCTAAGAATGTATTGGCTTCCAAATTGAAATCATGATTCTTTATTCTTTATCTCATGAGCTGTTGTAAATCCTTCCTCCTACAGATCAACCACAAACTTGCAAATATCGTATATTGTCTCTTGACTTCTAACGGTGAAGGACTAATCCCTGATGCTAAAACCACAAATCACAGTATAAAGTTATAAGGAAACTGCATAAAGCCTTTAAAAATAAAACCCAACAAAATTGGCATATTTATATTACATCTAAAGCCTAAAAACAACTATCAAACTAATATTAAGCACAATTTTAAATTCAAGCTCCAAATATTTAGTGGGAAAAACGTAATTCACTTACCTCAAAGTCTGCCTCCAAATATTTAGCGAGAAACTAGGTAGCCACGCAGTCACGCCAGAAACTGGGTACATGTTCTAGAATCCGTTTTGAGGTTAAATATCAACCAAACGCAACATCCATACATCAAATTAAAGCTAGAGATACAAGGAATAATATTATACCAAATTTGAGGCGATAGTCGGCTGAAGATGACTAGAAAATGGCCTTGAAGGTCTCGTCCGTTTTTTGTGCCTTCGATGGAAATCACTACGCAAACCTAAAATCAAGCATGCAAGGCTCGAACCAGATCTAGGGAGGTTGAAAATGGCCTAATTGAGTTTGGCCTTGCCAAAACTACAAGGATTTGGCCAAAATCCTTGCCGGATTTTTCTGCAACTCGTTGGGAACTAGAGAAGTTAGTTTTTCATTCCAAATCACAATTGCAGAGAAAACCACATGGATGCCCAAAAATCAAATTAGAATGACAAGAGAAAACCATTTGTGGTGTTTTTGAGGCTCACCTTTATTGGAATCAACTAAATTTTTGTTGAAAAAAACCCTCTTTTTTGTCGGAGCTCGCTAGTTTGAGGGTTCCTATTCGAGTTTCGAGGATACAGAGGTGAGGAAAAGGGTTTGTTGTGAGGAGATGGTTGTGGGTATGGTGATTGGCCATGTGGTTCATCGTGTTGAAAACGTGCCCTAATCCCAATCAATATGATGATACTTTATGGACATTGCACATGTTAAACTAAACTAGTTTAATATAAGGGTAAAGATTATTGTTTAAAGCCGTCTCATATAAATCTTATACGCTTAACCAATAAGTTCAAGAAATATGTGATTAGGAGAGTGTGATCTAAAGAAGTTAGATTCATGAGACCATTATCTTTTGTACACATATCATAAATGTTCCTGATCATAGGATTGCCAATTAGGCATTGACGATATGTTAAGATCAATACATGTTATGTATTCTCTTCGGGAGAGTGACTGATCTTGAGTCATTGGTGTGATTGATGTAAAGACAAGAATATAGGTGCTTAATAGAGAATGAGTCCACTAAACGTGATCAATGAGGAGTTCTTGTACTCATGTCACATGAGAACTCATGGTTGGGATAATGCATAGTAGGCTCAATTTTTTTTATTAGAAAACAAAGCACAACAAAAACAAATGGACCTAGGATGTGTTACTAACCAACAGAAAAAGCCATAAAATTACACATAATCATATTTAATAGATTCATTAAAATAAATATAAACCGCTTAAGTTTCTAAGTACATCTTCGCCGCCAACTACCGCCTAACGATTTTTAGAACATTGACGGTAACAATAACCTTGGATTTGGGCTCACACTCCTTTCACTTGAGGTATCATAGTTGTCTTGTGCTTAGTTCATTGATCTTTAACTGTGTCAAAGTCACTCTATCGGGGGGTGTCCACGGCATAATTACGATTAAGCTACTTAACCATAGAGGCAGGTGAATGCACAATAAGGAATCTCTAATCTTCAAACCATTGAGAGACAATACTCTGTGATATGATTACAAATCTCTAGTAGAGTATGAATGAGATTTAGGAAGTCATTCCAAATCATATTAAGGTAATCATATAGACAAGAGAATCACATTGGATAGTAGATATGAATAAACTATCATACAAAAAAAAATGTGATAAAGAGTATTGTATTAGAGAAAGACTGTATTGCATTTGTAATCCCAATCTGAATAGGTTCTCCACCTCTTTTGTCTAGCTTGGATAGCCATGATATACTGTTAAGTGTCAATCATGGCTTATGGAATCCTTGAAGATGTATAATCACTAGGGGTGGGCAAACGGGTCTAGACCCATGGGGTGGGGTGGGTTCACAAAATTAACAGGGGCGGGGCAGATCCAAAAGTCAAAGGAAACGGGGCCCGCCCCAGTCGAACCCTATCTCCCATTCCCACTCATTTTCTGGAATATTGTATTTGCTTTGGTAGTACACTTCCACTAGTACTACATTTGTTTACTGCAATACACTAGTACTACCTTCTTTTTCTTTCTTTATTTAGTTTTGTTATTTATTTATTTAATTTTTCTTTTGCTGCAAAGAATGTCATCCACCATCAAACCATCTTCTTCTCCATTCCATCCATTGTATGAGGAAACTAGGACCCGGATCCACTATCTTCTTCTCCACCATTTTCATCTCTCAATAACAAATCTTTCTTTCACTCAATTCTTCTACACCAAAAAAAAAAAAACTCATAGTGTTTTCAAAAACCGATTTATGATTCTCATTTTCTCAAAACCCAAAAATGATGAGCAATTTGAGCTCGAATCTCACTTGCCATTCCGCTTCATTCTCTATTTCTTGCTCAGGCATGCTTTCGTGTTCTCTAATTTATCTCCGATGTCGCCTTCTTTCTCTCCAACAATTTGATTTCAAACTCGGATCAGAACTCAGTCGAGTGGAAATTCAACTAGGATATTGAAAATTAAAAAAAATAAAGTACAAAAAATAAACAAATTGTACCCGTTGGACCCGTAGGAACTGGCCTATTTTAAACGGGCCGGGTTAGGTTTGGTTTCAAATTTTGTAATAGTAAGATCCGGCCCGCCCGACCCCGTTTTATTTTCAACTAGGTCCAGTCCAGTCCCTCCAATTTTAGGCCCGGCCTGTGCCCACGCCTAATAATCACTAAAGGGAAAATTGATAGTAAGTTTCAATTCACAATCGATTAGAAAAAGTTCTAATATCCTACAGCCTTGCTAATTAGAACCTAAGGTATCATTTGGTATGCAGACAGGACGGGACAGGACGAAATGGAATAGGACGGGACAGGACGGGACGGAACGGAGAGGGAGCGAAGATGTCGTTGGATGAAAACAAGGAGGAAGAAGGAGACGAAGAGGTTATTTTTTTGTGTTCCACGAATGTGGAACGAGTTGTTCCAAGGGGGTGAGGCGGAACGAAAATTCACCTAAAATTCGTCCCGTGGAACAGTGCGTTCCACCCGTTTTAGGCATACCAAACGTGGGACGAAATGCCTCGTCCCACTCCGTTCCGTCCCATCCCACGTACCAAACGGTACCTAATGGATCATGTAGATCGTGTAAGGTAAAGATTGAAGAAATAACGAAGTTGAGTAAAGACAATTAATGGTTTAATTGTTTATGGCTAGGATTAATCAATATGTTGATTAATCAAATTAACAAATTCGTTTTAGACATCTGGTTAGTTTTAGGCCTCAAGGTCCAATGGGCTTTGAGTAGTCAAGCCCAATGACTTAAGTTGTAAGACAACTTGAATCACAAAAGGGTAAAAGACCCACTAACACCCCAAAACTGGTCATAGAGAGTGAGGGTTATGGTTTCACTATTTGGGAGCCCTATTTAAGGAACTTTATAGCTCCATCCTCACTAAGGGATTTTGTGTGAGAAAAGAGAGATGGTTAAAGTTTCACTATGTGAAGCCCTATTTAAGGAACTTTATAGCTCCATCATCACTCCGATGTTCTTATGAACAATATCTCAATGTAAAATAAGGAAGGGAGAGGGTTGGGCCAATGGATCTCTCATATCTAAGTCAGTTTCTCTGATGAGAGAGAGTTTAGGGCTTAAGTGCGTAGCAAAAACTTACCAGAAAATGGTGGAGATGGAGTATTTATAGAGCTAGGGACAACTATATGTGTAGGATTTTGCCCTGACATGTAGCAGCATCCGATTGGCCAAGGTGAGTCATTCATAGGATGGTTGAGGAAGGAATAATCCCAATAAATAATATTTTGAGATTATCTTGGAAGTATCCTTAATTGGAAATTTTTGGGATTCCTTACTTGTTTGAGTTGATCCTTAATTAGGAAAGTATTAAAGATAAGATTGAGTAATTGATCATATCTTTAATGCATTTGACTTTTCCCTATTGTCATGGGTAGGGGAGCTTGGTGATATTGTAGTTAGCTAGGGATGTTAGACTGCAGGTGGGAGTCTTGTGGGTCTTGCCAATTTAGTAAGAGCATTCTTGTGTTCTTAGGAAAAAAGTACATGTGTCACCTATATGATCTTTCGGATTATTTTTGAGAACTTTAACGAAAAACTTCCGGTATTATTCACTTTAAAGAAAAATCAAATTTTTACACTAAAAAGTTAATTCTGGTACTATTTTTCACATCCCGACCCGGGGTCCACCACATCCCGTGCCCGCTCCACCACCGTAGGACGATATTGTCCGCTTTGGGCTTACCATTCCCTCACGGTTTTGTTTTTGGGAACTCACGAGCAACTTCCCAGTAGGTCACCTATCCTGGGAGTGCTCTGGCCTCCTTCTCTCTTAACTTCAGAGTTCCTACAGAACCCGAAGCCAGTGAGCTCCCAAAATGCCTAGTACTAGGTAGGGATGAGAATATACATTTAAGGATCACTCCCCTGGGCAATGTGGGATGTCACACTATTCACTTTATCTTTTATTTTTTTATTTTCGTTAAAACTCAAAGGTTTCAAGTCTTTTTTATTAGTTTTCCTATTATTCTTTGCTCCGCATGGAATATTTACCATACATATCAAATTCATTCTCTTCGATTCTTTTTTAGGGATTTCTAATATTCTGCTTAATTATATTATACTAAAATAGAAGAATATGTCAAGCATGTTTCAGTTGGATTGTATTCCGATGTTTTTAAGAGAAGTTAATACATTTTTCTCAATAAAATTGTAAGAAACAAAGAAAAAAATCTCTGGTGTAGCATACATGCTGCATTTTGACCTAATACACAGCCATGATTTAGTCTTAACCCTTAATCAAATGGACAAATATTACTATAAATACCAAAATTCAAGCATCCATGTTATCTAATCACCTATATCCAAATAAGGAATAATATAATCCCAACACGTATGTGATTATAATCAAGGTAATTGTTGGAAAACCACAAATTAATTAAGCAATGCACCTCCTATATATAACCCAAATGAAATTCTGAATCTCAATTAGCAAGGCTGCAAGGCTTGTCTAAATCAATATATATTATTTTGTTCATCTTTGTTTTCTTTGGCTAATCTACTGGTTTGTTCTTAATTTCTTGATCTCCATCTTGGAAAATGTCGGGGTTGGTGGACAAGGCCAAACACTATGTGGCAGAAAAGGTAGCAAATGTGCCGAAGCCTGATGCAAGCCTCACAGATGTTGATTTCAAGAAAGTGAGTTTTGACTCTGCGGATTACATTGCAAAGGTCTCTGTGAACAATCCCTACCCACATCCTCTCCCCATCTGCGAGATCAAATACACTCTCAAAAGCGTTGGCAAGTTAGTTTCAGCTCTCATTTTTACATTTTTTTTTTCAGTATTAGTGATCTTTTGAGCAATCAATGAGATCAAAACTGAAACCCCTTTTTAAAAATTGTAAATTTGCGAGTTCTACATATCTAACCAATTAGAGGGTTTCCGATCAAAATAGAGTCCTAATTTTGAATTCAATGAATGAGATCAAACCCGATAGCCTTTTGAAATGAGCTTGGATTTAACAATTTGACAATCTTTCGAGTCAAATTGATGAGTCTTCAATTTAATCTGCAGAAATTTAAGGGTATATTGGTTTACGGAAAATTGTAAATGGTAATCATATGAGGAAAAGAGATTTCCGCACATTTCGTTTTATGCACTCCTTTGTTTATTTTAAGATTTTGAATTGAATAAATCAAACAAGAATTAATAGACTTATGCAGCAGAAGAAAAAAATGGAGAAAATTTTGAAATTGTCCATCCAAACTTTTGCTCTCGATGTATATTGATCCTTTTCTGATTTGTATTTATATATGTGAATTAGGGTTATTGCATCTGGGAACATGCCAGACCCTGGCTCGATAAAGGCAAGTGGCACTACTGTATTGGAGGTGCCGGTGAAGGTGCCACATAGTATTATTGTGACATTGGTAAAGGACGTTGCTAAGGATTGGGACATTGACTATGAGTTGGATTTGGGTCTCATCATTGACCTTCCTCTGGTTGGGAACATTACCATACCACTCAATAGGAAGGGCGAAATCAAGCTTCCCACCTTATCTGAGGCCATTTGGGGTTCAAATGATGAAGCTGCAAAAGAGGCTTCCAAGGAGACTAAAAAGGAGATTGCAAACTAGACATGGCTAGATCCGAAGACGATAAAAAGGTGAAAGTCGAATTCTCGTAATAAATGTAAGAGTACATAGTTTATCTTTAGAAAAAGAAAGGTGAAAGTCGAATTCTTGTCATGTGGATGAGCATTATGTCAATTGCTTTCTTCCCGGTATTGAATTGGCATTGGGAAGACATTTTAGTACTTAGTAGCAATATATTAAAGTGGGGTTGGTTTGGGAATAGGCTTCCTACTAATTGATTAATTTCATGCGGCACCCTTTAATCCTTTCCTTGTAATGTCGCGTCAGATCTACTTTTTGTTTTATATTCATGTAATTATTTTTACTTAATTGACGATTCTAAGTTTATTTCTTATAGCGGAGTAATTTTTACGCTCTTTTATCTCTAGATGACTCTTTTCTTAACTTTGTTCATTAATTTTTTTCGTCCAATTACTAGAAAGAAGGGGATGCAGTAATCACTCCCTAAATTGATAACTGCGCAGCAATTTTAAAATCTTCTTCAACTTGGTACTTTTCTCTTTGTAATGTTCTAAGACCATCTCCAAAGAAAATGTCAAATCATAAGAATTAAATTACAATTGATGGCTGATGTGGCAATCTAAAATCTTATGTCAAACTTTGTACCTCTCCAACTGAACTGTCATATGTTATTTTGTAATTTAAATAGAGCTTTAAATGGTTGTAATTATTAAAAAAATAGTGAAACAAAATTTTTATTAGTTGAAATATTAGTGGAATAAGGGATCCACTTTTAAAATAAATTAAAAATAAATTTGACATTGATGTCAAATTTGATTCCAAATCACAAAGTGACACACCCTGACCTAGGATGTCCACTAGGACTCCGAATCGAGCTGTGTTGGCCGACACTTGGAAGGTCACGAAGCCATAAAGTGTATTGATGTGGATGATGTGAATAAATTTAAACCTAAAAGTGCCTAAGTACAAGAGTGCGCGGTGAGCGGGTATGAACTCATTTCACACGTGATGACAGAGCATAAGTACAATACAGTAAAATAGGGTGAGAATTATACCATCAATGGTAATCATCTACCCCAAGATTTGCCAATAATCCTCATTAGTACGAAAACTTTGCTACTAGAACCTGGAGGGGCGAAAAATAAGGGTGAGTGGGCCTAAAAATAAAATTTTAATAAAAACATTTTGAAAACGTTATAACCCCTCACCGTAAAGCCTGTATAGTTTCCAGAAAACACAACTACGTAGGTATGAAAACCAATGCATAAAAGTAGTGAAAATTGAAGTATGACATGTCATAATATCTCAACAATAATCAATGTAAGCCAGGTGTGAAAGCAATATAAAATAGTATGCTAGTCGAAGTCACCTAATGTAACTTATATGATTGGACCTATAGCTCATCAACATATGTCTGCACACGAGTCAGAGTCACCTAATGTGACATGTACGACAGGCTGGGTGTAAATAAGTACGCTTAAGTGCTACAATCACGTGAAAAATGTGCGATAGATCGTGGGTTACCTACGAGTCGGAACCACCTATTGTGGTATGTACGATAGGCTAGCACCAAAACTTGGATCCAAGGTGAGCGTGTGGTGCGAGAGGTGAACAATCACGTGAAAACTGTGCCCTGGCCTCAGACGGGAGCACTAACACCTGGGTGCAGTGTAATAAGTTCTAAATGCATAAATACATAGCAATATGCAATGCAACAAGACGAATCACATGCTAACTCACCTGAAGCTTACCTGAGCCTCCACAACATCAAATAGTATAATTCACAATTCATACTAATGCAACAATACAGTAATAAACAGTATAAACATGGCATACAAGGTTTAAATTCATTTAAAAATGTTTTCTGGAAATCGTAAAGCTTATATATAGAAAAAAAAATGCCCCCTCACATGAGGTCTGCGCTATAACTCCCTAGCAAGAATATCGAGGCATCACGAATGATCGTTGCCTAGAACAAATATTAAGTCATGTCTCAGAATTCTTATCGATAGGACACGTAACTTACATAAAACACATTCCCAAGGATATTCTAAAATGATTTGAGACCCATTGACCAAAAGTTAGCCGTCGGTCAAAGATCGACGATAGGGTCCACAACCCTACATAACTTGATCCGGAAGATCCGCATCGCATATTTCCAATCCGTAACTTCCAAAGATCCAAATTATACTTCTAAAATATCACACTAAAGTTTAATTACGATCCAATGATTGGATCTCTGCCAATTGCAAGTGCAAGTGGCGGTTAACGTTTTATTTTATGAACTTACAAATCCAATTCAGGAAGATCCATACATCGGATTCCCAATCCATAAGTTCCTATGATCCTCATATATTACGTACTATAACGTATTAAATTTTGGTGACAATCCAACAGTCGGATCGTCAATTACTATAATAATCAAGTGGCGGATCCTATCAAAACTATGTTCAAATGATGAGATTTCATCAATCTAACTTCACCTATGGAATTGGGATATCAAACTTAGCTTAAAAAGGTCAAGAGATGCCTCGGCTCGCGTGCCACCGTACACGGCGGTCAGAATCCTCAACTTGCCAAAAAACTCAACTATTTCTAAAAATTCTCAAACTTCACAGAAATGAAGATCTCAGTGAGTAGAGCAAGTTTTATACCTATGACCAAGTCCAATTTGGCCGGGAAAAGCCTCAAATCACCATGATCTCGCCGGGACCCTAGAATTTTGGTGTTTCTTGATTCGTCCTCAAATCGACTCTGACGCTCCAACCAATGATTGGGAATTGTTTATGAGCTCAAGGGAAGCTTTTTGATGGTGAGGATCGATGGGATTGCACTCAGAAATGGCGGATCGCTACCTAGGAACGCACGGGATTGCCGTCAAAGTCGGCGGCTTCAAACTCCATGAAATAGGGCCCATGTCTTTCAATTTTGGGGTGAAACATGAAGGAGGAAGGTCGTGGAGTTGGTTCAAGGTGGTTAGATGGCATGATTTGCTGGAAAAACCACCGGAGAAGACAAGAAAACTGGGTCAAGTCGGTGGGGAGGAACCGAGTTAAGGGTGATCCAGTGCTCCTCCACTCTCTCCTTTCCCCTCCTTTCTTCTCTCCCCCATTGGTCACTCTCTTCATTCTCTTCATTCTGATTGGGCGTCTCGTCCCTCCTTTCTCTCCTTTATATTTCATCTCCACCACCCATCTTTTCTTCCCTTTAATTTGGGCCACACACGTGGCTTTCCAGATTTTGCTTAAAAAATCTGGAACATTTCAGAAAATATTTAAATGACTATTTTGTCGCTATTTTTTACTCGCCCATAACTTCTTCGTTATAGCTCCAAATCACGTTTCGTTTGCACTCACGCACTCATATTGACGAGACTACCCGAATACGCTAAGAAAACAGATTTTACGTGGCATGACAAGACGGTCAACAAAAGTCAACATCTTTACCTCGAAGGCATTTCCGTAAATTCACATTTTAAAATTATAAAGACTGTAATTTTAGGGACAGGTCGTTACACAAAGCCTTCAAATTCAATCAGCAAATAACACTTCGGTTGGAGAGACTTTGATGTCAAATATATACAGTGGTGTTCCAAATAGGATTTTGACATCTCCTTTGAAGATACTCCAAGCGATATGACTAATTCATAGTGCATATGTTGGTTAATTCTTTTTATTTGCTTATTGTTTTGGTTGCAGTCAATCCCTATAAACCGACCACAGAAAAAAAGAGATACAAAAATAAGATGAAGTTTTGGTTGTTGTATATATGAGACTTTTCTTTCATTTTACATTATCCGTAATGTCCTTTTAATTAGAAACACAAAAATAATGGGTAGAACTTTAAGTTCGAAGTCTTGTCATAAGAAAAGATAGCATGAATTTAATTGTTTGAATCATTAACAGAATTGTCAATTGAATCAATTCAAAATTCTTAGCATAAGCATGCGTATTGAAAAATATATTAACATCTTATTCTATTACTGAGTTTAGCAAATTTATTTACTTTTTCAACTAAATAAAACGCTAATACAGACCTATAGTTCGATGATCATTCCATTTCTTCAGGTTCGCAATTAAGTATTTCTTTGAAAACCAACTTTTATAGCAGTCATGATAGCTTAGTCTCAAGGGAAATTTGAAAAAATAACCAAATTTTAGACCTTATCTCTACTAATTAATAAAAATGAAAACTAATGAAAAGGGCTTGAAAACTTTGAGTTTTAACGATAAGAACAAAACAAAGGGTAAAGTGAATAGTATCAGGATTGACTTTTTAGTGTAAAAATATGATTTTTTGTGAAAGTGAATAGTACCGGAAGCTTATCGTTAAAGTTCCCTTAATAAAACCCTATTTGTCAACCAAAAGAGGGTGAAAAGACAAATTAGTCTTCTATCACACCAAAAAAAATGATGAGCAATAATGTAATTTCACAGGTCTAAATTATATTATTTTTTATTGAAGCCTCACCTATAGGTGATATTAAAATACCACCAATATTATAAAAAAATAAAAAAAATTAAAAAATAAAAAAAATAAAAAAACAAAAACCTCCCACTCCCCCCACGTTCTCTCCCTCTCCCTCTCTCCTTCTCATTTTCTAAAAAAATGTGTTCATAGACACAAAGTGTGTAGGCAAATGCTAGTATAGAATTAAAGCCACCATTTTAATTTTATAATAATTATAACCAAAAGTTGATGTAAAAGTACTAATATATTTGATGAGTCGATTTTATACTATGTATTTTACCCTATTCTTACTTATAACTTATTGTTTATTTTGGTGAATTTTGATACTTTAATTTATATTCGTAAGACATTCGATTTTCTCTTAAGCAAAAATGATCAAACAAACGAATTTTGGAGTGATTCCAATTGGAGAATGTTCTTGAGTCTTTCAAGATGATTGTATCAAAGTTTCATATTTTTCTACCAAGCCGTTTGACTAATGAAATGAAGGCCCAGCGCACGACTTTCCCAGATTGACTTTTTTGATGTTTTGGTATTTTTGAGGTCAAGATGGTATATTTTGAGGAAGATTCCTTCAGAGGATTTGTTGGGGACGACTTAATTCAAAAGAGACATTTTGGGACCAAATCGGGCTTGATTTGGTCGGTCAAAAGTTTAATTTTATGAGAAATCCGAATTTCAATTCAAATAAGAAACCTTTTATTTGGTAGTTTATTATTTTATTGTGTTTCCTAGTTTTATGCTAAGACCTTTTTCTAGGTAGGGTTTTATTTTGTAGTAGTATAAATATGACTATTTAGCCATTAGGGTTTTAGAATGAGGGAGGAACGCACTAATTTAGAGAGCCTTTTTCTAGGTAGGGTTTTATTTTGTAGTAGTATAAATAAGACTATTTATCTATCC